TTAATGGGGAAACAGCAGAGAAAATACTGAATGAGAAATACTGAAAGAGAAAACAAAGCACTGAAACTGATCCAGATTAAAGAAAAAAATTACAGTGGATGTCTATGAATTTCCAGCTATGGTTTTTCCCTCTGACAGGACAGGCGGGAGGGCCTCAGGCAGGAGGGGAGGGAAGCCATCTGCAGAGCAGATACAGTCAAACACTGGTCCACAGAAGCCTGGTGGCTGGCCACTCTTCAAGGTGTCTCCTTCCCACGGCCTGTCTGGCCATGGTTAGAACTTCTCTCAGGATCTTTGGTCCCTGGAGCTTTCTAACACGTGGAAGGGCCACTCATCCCTGTGACGTATAACCTCATCTCAGCACCGCTGCTCAGAGAGTAATACTGCTCTCAGGCTGTTTTCTTGTCAGCGTGTGGTACAGATTCCCAGCAGGACTTTTCAGAGGCGTGCTGGTCGTGCCCAGCACCAGGACAACAGTAATGACCAGGCCAACAATAGATCAATAGCAGCTGCCAATCATTTCTCTGCCACTGTGTCATGTTTAACAACTCAGCTGCCTCTCCTTTTCTCCTTGCATGGCCTTTCCCCACCTATCAGATGGGCTAACTGCATTTTCACCTTTTCAGAGCTGGGAAAGATCAGGGGTTGCAGAAATGGGTGTTTTCACTTATCATCTCAAGTGAACTTCTGTGAACAAGTGACTGATTATCTTCTAGTGAAGACTGCCTGCCTCTCTGCCCGCACCAAAACTTCAAGGCCCAAGGCAAGAGGAAGTGTCCCTTTCACTGTTTACCTTACTAGCAAGGTTGACTAACGGCCAGACTATGTCTCTCTGCCATCTTGCACCCAGCACCCAGACTTGTTTTGGTTGCTGGGGAAATCCTCAGGCTGCAAAGGTGTGTGTCTGGGTGACAACTCAGAAGAAAGATCCCTACGTACATCTCAGGATTATTAACGGAGCCTTTGTTTTGGGACCCGTAAATGGAGAGAGGCGCCAGCATAAGTTGGCTGCTGAAGAACACCAGGGATTAAAAATGTCCCCAGAGAAAAGGAAAAGCCCAGTGTTTTGGAGAGAGAGGGGGGAGGAAGGCCTGCTACTTCTTAAAGACAGACAAAGGAAGCTGGTGAGCCCAGGCGGGCACTGGCATCTCAGACACCTTGCAAAACAGGGGACAGGGCCCCTGGAAGGGAGCTGCCCTTGAAACCACGCCACCACGTGAAAGTCACTGCCCCCTGGTTAGCTTTCTGGCCCGTCACTCCTGACATCGCGTTCTCACACTTTCAGAACTGGGGATTCAATGCAGGATGTAACTAACATTAAAAGAGAAAAGGTAAAGTATAAAAATGAGACACAGACTGAAGAAGATAATGATGGCTCCCCACACACGCATTAAAAGAAGAAAGTACTATGATGAAAGAGTCATATAATTTTAAAATGTTATTAATGTCTTTAATGTTATATTGTCCTTTCATTTTAAAGACAAAAAGCTCTCTGGCCACCTCAATGTCGTGAGAAGCCATTTTACTAGGCTTTTAGCATTACTAAGCTTATTCCCCAATACTTTGGTCCTAGCGAGAACTATACTCTCCCTGCAGTTAACGAGACAAAAGTCTCTCTTAAAATGAGGTTTTGAGTCCATTTAAAGGGTAATAACATATTGCTTTCCTTGGATGAGGCTTTGATCCTGATGGAGGCTCTAGGATAGCCCCAAAGTAGATAATCTGGGGTCCACTCACCTCACAGCTTGCAAAACAGGCCTGGCTTTGAGTGAATAATAGAAGAGAGCAGGGAAGACCTCTCCACCCCGAGAGGTGCGCGCCCACCAAGGGAGTCAGAATTGGAACTCCGGGCCTCTTGTTCCTGTGGAAGCAGGTGATGACAGCGTGGGGAGGAACATACTGGAAGAGGCCTCCCAGAAGGAAAAACGCAGTGGCCTCATTTTTCCTTCTCCCCCTCCTCTCTTGATGCTTCCACAGTAAAACAGGTTGTCTCGTTGTAGGTCATGCTGCTCTGTTATAGATTCCCATTTATAGTCCTGTTACTAACTTAGAGATATTTTCCATGTTGGGGTAAAAGGAAAAACAAAAGTCAGCATACCACCTGTTCTACTACGAGGCTCATGTTAAATGTGTAGGGCTGGGAGGAGGCTAAAGAGGATGCCCTGTGGAGTCTAAGTAATTTTTCATATTCCATTGGTTATTTCTCTTTCACCATCGCTTCCTGAACACCCTCGACCCCCATCACCACAGATCAGAGTTTTCCTAGTTGGATTTCAAGAGCACAAACTCTAAGGGGTTTTATTCAGAGCCATGAGAACAAAGGTTTCGTAATGAAAACAGCTTTGAAAATGTTGCCTACTAACTCCCCCAGGGAGGTCCACAACATACAACCACTACTGAAGGCTCTGCACGTGAATGTGGGGAAAAGGAAACCTATTCACTATGACTTCCTGGTAAAATAAGGCAGCATTTGCTCAGAAGTCTTCCTCACTTGGGCATGCATTATATTCTAGCCCAGTCAGCTAGGCGGTCCTTGGGACAGACTCTTCTAAGGAGCAGTTGCCCTTCGATGTCCCCCTTGCCTTCTGTAACTTGTGGATACAGAGGTAATCCGGGAGATCTGGGCAACAATCTCACGTCTAGGTTTTTTATGCTACAGACCTGTGCCATTCTAAATGGTAGCCACAAGCCACATGTAGCTATTTATATTTCAATCAATTAAAATTCTTTAATGTTAATTCAGATTCAAAATTCAGTTCCTGAGTTGCACCAGCCACATTTCAAGTGCTCAAGTCCCATGTGCCTGTGGCTACCATTTTGGTCAGAACAGATACAAGTATTTCTGTTGAAGTTTGCTGCCAGAGACTTTGTCAGTCATAGAAGGAATCCTCTTAACCTTCTCATCTCATCTTCTACAGCCCTCATGAGACAGGGAGATTCTCTGAAAGCAAGGATGGGGTTGTGTGACCTCTGAAACCCAGATCACAGTCCAGGGCACTGAAGAAAAGACCACTCACAAAATATTAGCCAATGATACAGGTGGCCCCTTCTCTTCGTTCTCATAGCATGTACCTACCTTGGTCACAACACTATAGCACAATTTTCTCTCCCCTCCTAAAAAAATTATTGGCTTTTATTGGTTTAAAAAAGTAATACAGAAAAGCTGAGAAAAGATAATAAAAATCAACAGGTAATACTCTCACCTACAGACAATCACTCAACATTCTGGAATATTTTCATTCATTTCTTTAACAAATAGATATTTTTATTTACTAAGTTATAATTACAGTAAAACTCACCATTTTATGTGATATGCATATGATGTATGATGTAATCACCACTACAGTCAAGATATAGAACATTTCTATCAACCTTCAAAGTCCTCTCCAGCTTCTTTATGGTCAAACTTCTCTCCCCAACCCCTCCTCTGGCAGTCACTGGTCTGATACTGTTCTATAATTTTGACTTTTCAAGGATGTCATATAAACAGAGTTGTACAGTAAGTGGCTTTTTTAGTCTCATTTCTTTCATTCGGCATAATGCTTTTGCAATTCACCCATGCTGTTGCAAATATGTGCTCACTCCTTTTCATTGCTGAGTAGTGTTCTATTATATGAGTATCCTGCTATCTGTTTATCCATTCTACGGCTGATGGACTTTGGGGTTGTTCTAACTTAGGGCAATGATACAATAGTTATAGAATAGAGCTGTTATGAATGTTGGCACATGGGTTTTTTTGTGTACATGTTTTCATTTCTCTTGGGAAAATTCCTAGGAATTGGATTGTTAGTCATGTAGTAAGTATGTGCTTAATTTTATAAGAAACACCAAACTGACGTCCAAAGTGGCTTTACTAATTTGCATTTTCACCAGCCATGTATGAGAGTTCCAGTTGCTCCAAATCCTCACCAGCATGTTGTAGTTTCCTTTCTTTTTTTTTTAGTTAAGTCTAATACATACGTGGTGTATCTCATGGTTTTAACTTGCATTTCCCTAATAGTTAATGATGTTGAGTATCTTTTTATGTACTTATTTGTTGTCAATATCTCTATTCATGGAGTTTCTGTTTGAATCTTTTCCCCATTTTTAGTTTTTTAAATTGGGTTGTTTGTTTTCTTATTACTGAGTTGTAAGAATTCTTTATACATTCTAGATGCCAGTACTTGTCAGAAATGTGTTCTACCAATATTTTCTCCCAACTGGGGGCTGGTCTTCATTTTCTAAACAATGCAGAACTTTCTAATTGTATTGAAGAACAGAGAGACATTCTGAGTACCTGCCACATGCTGACCTTTGATCAGCAATGGAGACACAGTAATACCTAAGCGTAAATTTGCACCTTTTCTTTTTAACAAAATAGGCATCTGTTGGTTTACAGCTTACTTTTTCACTATCTTATCATGAGTATTTTCCACATCATTAAATGTTATTTAAAAACACAATTTGTAATGTTTTCATAGTATTCTCATAATTATCTTTAACTATCCCTCTCTATTTGGGGGTGTTTATTTTGATTTCAATTCATACTTAAAAAAAGAGAGAGAGAAATATACAGTTGCCATCCTCTGCAGAAATCTCTGTACACATCCCCAATTATTTTCTTAGGATAAATATTTACAGTTGCAAAGACTGAAATAAAGGCATAACACTGTTTCATAATTGTCTCTTCAGAAAGATTACTGATGTCTTGAAGCAAAGATCTTATCTTGCCTTCATTGTCATGCCTGTAAATGACAAAGAGCCTGTCACATTGAAGGTGCACCATACATACTTGACGGGTAAATGGTTGGAGAGAAAAAGAATTCCACTGAGCTTAATCCTTTCCCCTTCCTCCTGTGAAAGAGTTCCCTTAGCCGTCTACCTTGACTTACCAGATGAAGGGAATAAGAAGTTTTCTTTTAAGAGAAAACTTGCCAAGGAGATGTAGGTTCCCAGAAAAGCTAGATGACAAGCCCTGTTGCTGCTCAGCAGAGCCCTGAAGGGGCCCCGCCCCCAGCCCGTGTGAAGCCATAAAGCCCGTGCGGTGGGGCAGCGGCAGCTGGCACTCAGCCTCCCGAGCACGGCGCGCACTCGCACTGGCCCGCGCTATGGCAAATGAAGCGCAAGCCCCGCTCTCCGCACTGAAAGGGGGGCATCCTCCCGCAGGTAGGCTGCCCACCTGCCCTCTGTCCTGCGCACAGCAAGGCCGCACTGCTGCTGCCGCCGCCCCTCCTTCCATTGACTCCTTCGACAGAGGCGCCCAGCAGAGCAGAGGCTCTCGCCTCTCATTGTTACTTTAACTTCATGCAACCTGCTTTCCTCCTTTATCTCTGATCCTTTTACGCTTGTGTATAAAAACCACCCGGAAATTTGTCAGGCTCCGGTTGAATTAAAACGTAATTATACCTGGGAGTACGGGGATTCCGTGCTTGTGGGGAAGAGTAGGTGAGGAGCTTGGACCCTCCCTCCCTGGCTGTAGGTTAGCAGGGACACATCCTCACCTGGAAGGTGATTTATTGCCATGGAAACATTCCTCCCTAGAGGTTCCAGCTTTCAGACTCAGTCGCTCCAAAATGCCTGTACATCGTCTGACTTCGTACCCAGGCAAACCAGCTCCACACGGAGGAGAGCAACCCAGTTTCTCCCTCCCTCCTCAGGCACTGGGGTTGGTCAGTGTTATCAGTGATGTCTTTTGCCTGTCCCCAGGCTGAGGGCTGAGGAGCACTTTCCAGTAAGGATTCAAGCATGGGAGGGGCTGACTAGAAAATGTAGCTATCAAGGTACTTTGCAAAGCATCCACAGTTCTTTCTTTCTTTTTTAACGTATGCTATTTATATCAACTTTCTGGAATATGGAAATTAGTTTTATTGTACTTAACCATATGTTCATATAGATTGGCTGAGGCATGCAGGCCTATTTTTAGCCGGTTTTATGTTCTTTCAACTGCCTTTCTTCTTTTTCTTTAAGAAAGATCTCAAAAGCTTGACTGCTTTGTTCTTGCCTTTCTCCATTATCAAAATTTATTTATTGGTATAATTCTCTGTCTCCTCTAAGCTGAGGTTATTTCAGTAATCTTTGCTGCAGAGGGTGATGGCAGGTGTAAGCTTCACAAAGCATCAGAAACTGACACAAGTTTCAGTAGCTTTCTGGTGGGCAGCCCAGCTGAAAAGAGTCAGAATTTTTACTACTAATTCTGAGTTTCCAGTTCTCAGCACGGTGCCCTGATCTCCTGTGGCAGGCTCCTGACATTTTATATTTGTAACTGAGTTTAGTAATATTTAACATGCTCTATATATAAAGTTAATGATGCTAACTAATGATCAAGAACCATCTATGCAAATTATTAGAAGAGAAGTTTATACACAAAGACAAAACAAAACACTGTTTTCTTCCCGCCACTTCCACCCCAGTCCCTCATTAAATAGTTCCACTAACACCTGATTTGCTAAATGACATTTATACACAGAGATAAACTTAACCAAATGAAAGTTTGAATGAAACCACCAGGAACTTTCTGTCCCCACCACTAATGATTGCTAATTACTCTGTGTACACAGCACACCAGGACTCCATCAGGCATGTCACAATGCCTCTGGCATGACAATTAATTATTATGAACTGTGACACCACAGATAAGAGGTTTGGGATAATTAGAATGGAGATGAAGGCAGACTTTTTCCTCCCCACAGAGAACAAGGGAACAAAGAAGCCTCATCCTTCAACTTGCCTTGATACATATTTTAAGTCTAAACCAGATTGCTACAGTACCAAATTTTATTTATGGAACAAAAAGAATTCAGGGCCAGAATTCCATTAAATTTCACCTGATTTTTACAGGCAATAGACAGATCCCTGAACATGGGACGCAGACATGATGTGATGGGAAAGTTCTGACATGGCCTTTGGAATCAGACAGACCTAGATTTAAACCCTGCTTCCCTCCCATGTCTCCCAGCCTCAGTTTTCTCATTTTTGAAACAGGGGGCAATAAATAACATCGACATTGTAAGGTTGTTATGACTGTGAAAGGAGATAGCCTATGTAAGGTACCCAGCACATGAATGTTAATCCCTGTAAAATGCAGGCCTCATAAAACACATAGCTGTCAGAAGAAGTTATTCTCCCCAACTGCAAGACCTCTGGATGTTTGAGGGTTGCAGGAGGCACTACTGCGGTTGTCAGAACAGAAGGAAATTGCGGTAGATCCATGTGCCTGCCCCATCATAGTTAAAAATGAAACCACTCAAAAGTCAGCCGTCTGTAACTTTTTCCCACCTATGGGTGGAGTGCTTAGTGGTTTTTCTTTCATGTATATTATATAATATATTGCACCTCTGTGAGCCGTGGTTATAAATTTACACTGCGAAACAGGACTACATTAAACATGAGGAGGCCTGGGCTCTAGGAAGCTTAGCTTTGGGTTTTCTGCAGTTTTGATTTGCTTTGCACTCAGTTTTATAAGAGCTCCATTATATCAACGACCAAAAACGTGTGACTAGAAGGGAATCCAAGGAAGCTAAGCACATACACTATGAACCAGAAAGAGCAGTGGTTTGTGAGTATTTCCCATATTCATTGCACTTTTTAATTTCGTTCAAGGCAAATGAATCAGAGCCATTGGCGGGGTCACCAGTGAACCCCCAGAGAGAATCAGTTTTCTGGCTCATTAAAGAGAGGGAAGCTGGGGGAGTGTATCCCTAAGTGTGGAACTAATGCTGAAAATGGTGATGAAGGCGGGAACCATAGCTGCAGAAGGACCAGTATCATTTGTTAAAAAGCAAACACCAAAGGCTTAATTCTCTCAACTCCAGTCCGCTCATGTCACCTTATGGGAGTCGATCAGTGAGGTCCAAAAGAGAGGTTGCGAGACCCACTACCCCACACATCACAGGGGCAGAAATTTGATGACTGCAAAAATGGCTGCTCTTCACCCATCCCTGTGTGCCTGGCACTGCACAGAGCCTTCTAGACATGGCAACAGCCCTGCAGACTGATGATCTACCATCGCCCTTGTTTCACAGAGGAGCAAACTAAAAGTCAGCAAGGTTGACGGACCTACCCAATGCCACATAGCTGGTGAGCAGGAGGGCAGAGATTTGACAATGAAGTGTGCCCCCGCCAAGCCCTCTCTCCTTGCTTCACAAATGTTTCCTCGGGGGAGGTGGGGGTGCAGGTAGCAGAGAGCATGCTTAGCTTGCTCGAGGCTTAGGTCCTGGGAGTTCCAGTACCTCTGTTGAAAACAAACAAAACCTAGTTTTTCCTGATGAGGGTCTTTTGGGTCTTGATCGGCTGCTTAGAATTTGTACCCCCAAAATCAACTGCAAATGCAAAGGAAGCGTTTGGCAAACATGCTAACCTTTTAATTAAAATCTTTAAACGGAAGTTGGAAGTCACAGGCAGAGTTTGCACAAAACTTTGTGGAGTTCAGCTTTTTCACGTACATCTTCCACTGATGAGTGAAGGGAAGACACTCCATTGTTCTTACAGGCTTTGTCTTTCTTTATCTTGACTCCTCTCTAGCAAACACTGTGCAAAATGCCTGGAAAATCTTAACTGGAAAATTACTATCCAGTGTTCTAAACTCAAGGGTCTACTTTTGAAAAGTTAGAAATACTTACTCAGCCATAGGAAAGCAAAGTTTCATTTTCACCACATCAACTAAGGTTTTTTAATGAAATTATCTAAAAGAGCACCTCTCTCTTACATTTTTAAAAATTTCTAGTTCATTTTGCTTATTGAAAGGACCTAAAATCTTACCATGTGCATCTGTATTCAAAGTCTTGTTAAAAAGGTAAATCAGCTCATTTTGTACTTTGCCCAATTCCAGTTGATCCTACTACAGAGGGTCAAAGGCAGTATAGTCTCAAACATGGAATTATGTAAATGATTACAAATTTAAATGAACTAATTTAGTTACTGTGAAACCGAAAAGATCCCATGAGTCAGACTGTCTGGTGTAAGCAAAATGGGCAAGAATCCGATTGTGTTGGGTTGCAAATGTTTATTTACAATGGGTTGTCTAGATCCAGGGAGATAAGTGTGACCAGTATACCCAGAGAGCTTTGAAGATGACCCTCCCACAAACTGGTTCCATCCAGTTCAATCACCCCGGTGTACTGAGAGCCTTAATCTCTGTCTCAGTGTATCCATCTGTAGTATGGGGAGAGTCTCTTCTGATTCTTTGTACTGTACATGGCTGACCAAGTGAGATTACCTCCCAGAACAAGTTTGGTAGAAGAACTATGCTCTGAAAATCTGAGGTATGGTTTACTTATGCTTCCTAAATCACTCAGAGCCCACAGCCCTGGGTGGATTCAAGGTCTCCTGGATGGAAGTATGAATCTTACGGGAGGATTTTTAATTTCCCATCAGATGTCTCTGTTTTATTATTCTTAAGAATGAAGAACTCCCATGTTTGCATTCTGTTAAAATTTCTCCTGGCATTTGTTTCTCTAAGTGCTCTATATTCTTTCAAAAAGGAGGGAAGTGATGGATTTTCTTTAGTAGGTAGATGGAAAGAGACAGAATCACAGCAAAGACTTTATAATAAAAATCATCTAGGTCAACTTCTACCAAATTCCCCAAAACCTCTCTGAAATATTCATGGCAGATAGACTTCTTTTCTTTAATACCGGAGGGGCCAAGGACATATTATTGTACTGGGCAACCTACTTCACTTTGAGTAACACAGTTATATGTAGCCACACTCTGCCTTTCTGGAACTCTCATTCTTTGGTTTTCATTCTCTCCTCTGGAAAAACAGAAGTATAAATAATAATAACTACTAATTATTAAGTGCCTACCATGTACCAGGTGATTATATCACCTCTGTTCTCAAGAACAACATAAACAATCAGTATTATTCCCTTTTTTAACATGATATATCTCTTTATTTATTTAGATTGGGCAGAGTGTTGCAAAGTTCTTTCTTATCCTGAGATCCATTTAGATTTTCTTTTTTTTTAATTAAAAAAATTTTTTAAAATTTTTAATTGAAGTACAATCAATTATAATGTGTCAGTTTCTGGTGTACAGCACAATGTCCCAGTCATGCATATACATGCATATCTTTGTTTTCATTTTTTTTCATTAAAGATTATTACAAGATATTGAACATAGTTCCCTGTGCTATACAGAAGAAACTTCTTAGCATTATTCCCTTTTGAAGGATGCAGAAACTGAGCCTCAGAAGAGTTTAAGTATCTTGCCCAAGGTCACAGAACTTAGGAGGGGTAGAGTTCTCTGACCCTGCATAACATTTCCTCACCAGGAAACCATTCCTCCTCCATATGATGGCCCCTCAGATTCTGGAAGGTGGCCCCACACGTTCCCTTGAGTCTTTGCGTCCTCAGAAGTGATCTTTCCAGATTCCCCAGTTCCTAGTGTGACAAGGTTCCCTCTCCACTCTGGTCATGCTCCTCTGGACATTCTCTAGATGGTCCATGACCTTTCAAATGAGTAGCACAGAACTCAACATCCCAAAGTCCTTCTCGTCTTTAACTATTGCTTGTTTTAACTCTAACAAGCTTGCTTCCACAGTCGGCGATAATATTTCATGGGAAAAAATGTGTAAAAACAATAGCACCAGAGACGACGGAAGGAGCGCTAAGAAGACAGCAGTCACAGCACTCCGTGTTCTAAGGGCTCTGTCATGGGGAGGATAAAAGACGCTGCTGGAGGGCCCAGAGCTACTGTGACTTGATTCCTCTTGGTAGAGGATTAACAGTGCTCTGAATACCACCCCTGCCCATAACAGAGGCACCCCCTCCTCAAGAAGCCTTCCAGAAAAAGCCATCCCTTGGTTTGTTTCACTTCTGTTTTCCATAGCTGTTCAGAAGACATTTCCACACCATTTCACTTCTGTTGCTGATTATTTTGTATGCCTTTTTTCCGTGTGTGTGTGTGTGTGTGTGTGTGTGTGAGAGTTTAAAGCATCCTATGTATGGAAATAGCATTTTTTTCCTAGACTGCATCTAATCTTACAAAATTCTAGTGAGATGCCTTTATAATCAATAAAAAAAAACAACTTGGTGATTCAAAATGACCAAGTGGAGTTTATCCTATGAATACAAGAATGGTTTGATAGTAAAATATCCATTAATATATCTTTAAGCCTTTTGCATCTATTAATATAATTAACCACATTAAAGAGAAAAATCATATGATCATATATACAAATGCTAAAATTGATTTGATAAAATTCAGCATGTATTTATAATTTTTTAAACCCAATGAAATAGTAATGGAAGGGTATTTCCTTAACATGATGAAAGAAATATATACGAATATATATGTATGGAAAATAAATATGTGTGTATACATCCAATTAAGTATACATCATACTTTATGGAAAAACACTAAAAGCAATCCCTTAAAAATGAGGATGACAAAGATGTCCACTGTTGCTACTGAGGAAGTAACATTACAATTATTTGTATCTTTTTTTTAACCTGGAAAACCTAAGAGAATCAACAAAAATATTATAAACAATAAGAGAATTCAATTAAGATCTGGTTATAAAAATCAGTAACATTTATATAAGAACAACCATCTGTCTATTAGAGCTATAATGGAAGAACAGATCCTAGTTCAACAGCAACAACAAAGATAAAGTGCTTAGGGAATAAACCTAATAATAAATGTGTAAGAGTTACATGAACAAGTTACTGAGGGATCCAAAAGAAGATGTAAACAATGGAAAAGCAGACCATGTTCTTGAATAGAGAGCCACCAGGAATATACAGACATGAATTTTCCCTTTTAAAAAAAAATCTATAAATCTAGAGCAAGACCTTTAAAAAACTACCAACAGGATTTTTTGGAGGGAATTGACAAACTAATTCTAAAGTTCATGTGGAACAATAAATATGTAAGAACAGTTAGTAAAATTCTGCACAGAAAATGTAGCTAGAAGGACTATTGAAATTAAAATATATTGTAATGCTACAATCATTACAGTAGGGTTGCAATAGTGTATAAACAGACAAGAGAGAACAGAAGTCCAACAGGAAAAATGGGCCAAAAATTTGAACAGTTTATAAAAAGAAAATACAACTGGCTTCTGAAACACAGAAACAGGCTTGACTTTTAATAAAATGTAAGAAATGGAAATTACCTTTTTTTTTTTTTTTTTTTTTTTTACTGATTGTCTGACAAAACCAAAACCTTCTTTAGCTCGCATTGCTGCGATAAGGAAACAATCACTGTCACTATAGCTGGTGAGATTGTAAACTGGTGCCACCTCTGAAGTTCAGGTTGGCAAGATTTAACAAAATTCCAAATGCACGTACTCTTAAGAATAAACAAGATCACTACTAGGAATTTATCCCATGGATATATTTCTGCTTATACAAAATCATGTATGTAAAAAGATATTCATTGCAGCATTGTTTGTGATAGTAATGGAATAGAAATGTCTAAAACGTCCAACATTTGGGAATTGGTTAAGTAAACACAATGTTCATAGAATGAGATTTTAAAGTAGATGTTAAAAAGAAAGGTATTCTCTCTGTATACATTGAGAAATTACTCCAAAATACATGGCTGAATGAAAAATATAAACAAGGTGTAGAACAATGTGCATCTTATGCTGCCATTTAAAATAATAATAGTAATAATACATAGATACATGTATAGAGTATCTGTGGATGAATATGGAGGAAACATAACATTAGTGGTATCTAGGGAGATGAACTGGAGGCTTAAAAACAATGGTAGAAGAGAGACTGCGGACCTTTTCACGCCTTTTGAACTGTGTGTTTTATGCATGTACTATTACGTAATCAAAAATTAATTAAATCATAATTTTAAAAAAATGATGAAGATAATTCATGAGGGCATTGAGAAATAGAGTAAGTTTTCCTATTTTTCACTTTATTGGAACTAGTTTTAGAAAATTGCTAATCTGATATTTCCAGAAAAAGAATTAACAGGTTCAGACAAACCAGTGTTCATTTAGCTTTTTCTCATTTGAGCTTGTCAGATTTCAGATGTGACAAATTTCCTGGGAACAGAAAAGAGTATTTGCTTTGACTTGCACTCTGAAATGGGTTGTTCCTTTTCAAAAGTTGATTTCATCTGACATTGTTAAACACTTGAATTGCTGTTAGGTCATCTGTAGCCTAATTAACACTAATTGATCTCTTGAATGGCAGGATTATTAATGCAATTTAATTACTTATTAGGACATCTGAGCTCCTCCAGCATCGGAGGTTTGGGGTCTGGGATGGAAGGTGGGTATCTGGTGGGATCAGAGCATCTCTTCTGAATTAAATGCCTGTTATCACTGCATGCCCTGACTTTTGGCTCATTCTCCAATCTAGTTTTTGAAAGCTCTGGTTGGGAAAATAAAAAAAATACAAGCCTTGCACAAACTTTAATCTTGTGGGAAAACAGGAGGGTCATATTGTAATTGTCAGTTGCTATCATGAAGAATGTAATTGGTTTGATAATAAGAAAAAATGTTTTTCAGTGAAATGCCTAAGGGCATATAACAGTTGTTATCTCCTCCCCAAATCAAAGGGTGTAAACTCCCTTGCTTTTTTAACCTCAGTTCCCCATCTCTGAACACAAACAAGCAAACCACAATCCTTCTCTCCATCCCACCTTGTTTGCCTGAAACTATTTTTTCTTCTATTATGCTAGTGCAGGGTAACTTTTTACTGTGTTGTTTTAGATAGATAAAAGTTTAGCTCTTCAAAAAAATAAGTTCTGAAATTCTTCCAATCTAACTTCATACCTTGAATAGGAAAGCAAACTTCTTGCTGCTCTAACCATGACTCCCTGTTGATGCTTATTTGTTTACAGTAAAAGCTGGAGGAAAGCGAATTTCCAAAAAACAAGAAATTGGCATCTTGGAGAGACACACCAAAAAAACAGGATTAGAGAAAACCAGGTAAGGGATTGCTTGCCTTCTTCCTCTAGAGGAGTTTCAAGTGCCTCTACTTCCAGGAATCAGAGGCTTTGCTGTATCTAGGACAAACCAAGGCTCCCTAGGCATTTGCTAACCAGGGTCAGAAGCAGCATGGTTAGGGTGCAGGGATGAGGGGACAAGATGGATGATGATGGAGGAGGGGAGGTGGGGAGGGTGGTGGTGGCCAGCAGGTGAGAGGCACCCTTAGGGGAAAGGTAACTATGGTCTGGAGGGCTCTCTCTGCCCATTCTCCTCCTCTCTGCAGCCAGCCCAGCTGCCTCCTACTTAAAAAGCACGGTCCTGAATGTCCCTGAACCTGACTCACATCCCTGTATCTTATAACTTGCACATTAGCCTTTAAAGTACTGTCCCTACGCTGGCCCTGTTTTTAAAATATACTTTCTGCTGAAGCAAATCTCCTGAATTAAAAATAAGTGCTTTTATGTTTGTTTCTTTTACATTCATCACTTAATTATTTAGAAAATAATGGCCGCTATATTTGGCACAGCCGGAAGGCATCTAGATACCGAGGCTGTTTTCAACCTGCTCCTTCGCCATGACCTTGATATATTGCGCTGCTCTCAGAGCTAAGCAGAGAGCTGTGAGCTGGATCCCTCGCACAAATGGCTATGCCACTCTATGCCTTGGGAAGGGAAACAGTGCATTCAAAAAGAAATAAACATGGGAAAGAGGCTCCTCCAAGTAATGTAATGAGGGGCACTTCAGAGGCTATTAATTTCAGGATGGTTTCCATAGATGAGTTGATGAATGATCAAAAGGAGTGAATTGGAGGATGTGCAGGCATGTCCGTGAGTTAAAATGGTAACAGTCTCAGAAAGAAAATGTGGACAGAATAGGCTATGGAATTTCTCTGGTATTTTGTTTTGTTTTGTTTTCATACAAAATTACTTTTTAGATTACTTTTAAAGTTTTCATCCTGATTTCTGGGAAGGAAATTTTTTGAGGATTTTTCTACTTTAAAATGAAATATGTTGGGGGAGGGTATAGCTCAGTGGTAGAGTGCCTACCTAGCATGCATGAGATCCTGGGTTCAATCCGCAGTGCATCCATCAAAATAAATAAATAAACCTAATTACCTTCCCCGAAAAAAAAAGTAAAATAAAATAAATGAAATGAAATACTCTAACCATTATATGTAAAGAGTTCATATAATTCAGTAGCAAAAAAGCAAAGAAGCCAATTTAAAAAGAGGCAGAAGATCTAAATAGACATTTTTTCAAAGAAGACAGGATATACAGATGGCCAACAGGTACATGAAAAGATGCTCAACATTATTAATCATCAGGGAGATGCAAATCAAAACTATAATGAAATATCACTGTACACCTCTCAGAATGGCTATTATCAAAAAGTTAAGAAATAACAAATGTTGGCAAGTATGTAGAGAAAAGAGAACCCTTGTGCACTGTTGGTTTCAAATATAAATTGGTGCAGCCACCATGGAAAACAGTATGGAGTTTCTTCAAAAAATTAAAAATGGAACTACCATATGGTTCAGCAGTTCCACTCCTGAGTATTTAATTGAAGAAAATGAAAATACTAACTTGAAAAGATATATGCATCTCCACTTTCACTGCAGTATCATTGTAGTAGCCGAGATACAGAAGCAACCCAATTGTTCATCGATAGATGAATGAATAAAACAATGTGATACACGCACACACACAGAGGAGTATTGTTCAGCCATAAAAAGAAGGAAATGCTGCCATTTGTGACAACATGCATGGAACCTGAGGGCATTATGCTAAGTGAAATAAGTCAGACAGAGGAAGGCAAATACTATATGACCCCTCTTACATGTAGAATCTAAAGAAAAAAAACAGGACAACGACAACAACAACAGCTCGAGCTCACAGACTCAGAGCCGATTGGTGGCTGCCAAAGCTGGGCTGAGGGGTTTGGGGCTGGGGTATAAAATGGATAAGAGGGTCAAGAGATACAGACTTCCGGTTACAAAATAAGTAAGTCCTGGGGATGTAATGTACAGCATGGTGATGGTAGTTAATAATACTGTGTTGTATATTTGTAAGTTGCTAAGAGAAGAAATTTTGGAACTTCTCATTACAAGAAAAAAGGTTTGTAACTGTGTACGGTGGGGGATGTTAACTGGACTTATTGTGATCGTTTTGCAGTATATACAAATATCAAATCATCACGCCGTACACCTGAAACTAATGTAATATGTCAATTACACCTCAGGTTTTTAAAATTTGCCCCTTTGGCGTGAAGTTTTTGTTTCTTCTGAATCAAAAAATAATCATCACATGTTGAAAGCAAAGCTCTAAGTCCTCGAGGATAGGGGTGACACGTGGTATCTCTCCTGACCCAGCGGCTAGGACAGTTCCCAGAGTAGAGAAAGCACCCCTAAGTGACACCAGACTGTCGTTGAATTGCCAGCTGGTTAATTTCAAAACCTATCCCACTGCTAAAGTCTGACTCGGCATACGGCCTGTTTATGGTGACACCGGTTAACAACCCTGGGCCAGGGGCTCAGGAACTAAAGACTCATAGCTTGGAAATGACCTCCTCTTTGGTCCCCAGGGGACAAGTCATTCATTTCCCTGCACCTCTACCACTGGGACTTACTATTAACTCTAATGTCAGGTGAACAGTGCGGGGAGAGGAGTTGCCTGGAAAGTCATAAAGTGGCAGTTGGAATCCTCTTTAAAAATTCAGTTGTTTTCTAATTAAAAGTTATTGAAGATGGGAGTTGCACTGTTACAGACCTTAAATAGCAAGAAATTGTTCACTCCTGCCCTATTTACCTGGGACAGATACAGATATGTGGGACCTGAAGCTTATAGAATTATGGGGCTATTTTAAGGAAAAATAATAATAAAATCACAAATATGAAATGGCTATGGCCCCTCCCAGGGCCTTGGAAGGAGACTGTGCAGTGAGAGGCCCTGATAAATCCACCTCTGCTCTTTAACGTTGGCTTTGTGTCTATGTGGATATCACTGCCTCGATTTCATGGACACACAACTCTCCTTATGTCTTCTAGGAGAATAGCTTTTGAAAAAGGTATCATAGAAAGTAAATTTCTAAGCATCATCAATCTATGTCCATTTCCTAATAACTTCTGCTCACCAACACAAACCGTCCAGAAAAAACATCTGCCAAGTGCAGAGTTCCCTTCAAGAAACTGCTCTGTAGACTCAGCCCTGATGGAAACTCTCCTACAAAATAACTTGGCCTGAGACAAGAAACCAGACACAAGAGAGTATACACTGGATAGTGCATTTTATGAAGTATAAATAAAGTCAGAACTAATGTATGGGGCTATAACAGGTTAGTAATTATCCTTGGGGGCAACTAGCTTAACTAGTGTTACAAGTTTGTGAATATTCACCAACCTTAATGTTGGTAATATGTGTACTTTTCTGCATGGATACTGTACTTCGATGAAAAGTTTTAAAATATTAATTATGTTTGGCCTAGCACATGGGCACATAGAGCAAGATTTTTATTTGTTTGTTTTTGTTTTCTAGGAGTAGCCAAGCAGAGTGAAAGCTTAAAGGCCAAGTAGAAAACACTGTACAAATCATTTAGTCTCTTTCGTGGGAAAGTTTCTGTTTCTATATGAAGTCTCTTTTCATCTTCACAGTGCCATTGCAAATGTCGCCAAAATACAGACGATGGATGCCCTGAGTGACACGCTGGAAAAGGTGAGCTGTGGGTGAGGCGTGTCACGTGACTGATGCTCCCAGCCAGTATTTGCTCAGTGGATTCGACTACATGGGTGACTGAGCTGATGACCACTGAGGTTTTTTCTAACTCAGAGGTTTGATGTCCTTGCAAAAGAAACTGCTCTCAGTTCAAGGAACATGAAGTGGTTTTAATGAGAAAAGCTGATTCTCCCAAATTCCTGATGTCTAACAAATCATTTCCAAAAAGTAAGGCAGAAAATAAAGCAAGAATCATGATGCCAAATTGGCAGAACTTTGCTTTGCCATCCCAAATATTTCTTGGGAATGTTGGCATGTTGTTATAAGAAAGACAGCCTGTGTGTTGGGAATTCAGCACTTTTTGACCTCAGTCCCCACCACTGCATTCCCACAAAGAAATGTTTGATTTGAGGCCAGGATGGGTGGTGGAGGTTTGCCCAGTTTAGGGCTGGAGGAAGGCTGGGCACTGGCTGGCTTTATCTAGTTGTCTGTTTATAAAGGTAGTTGACCGTTGCTGTTTTTATTTCTATATCTTGAATTCTTTCGAAGTAGCTCAAGAAACTCAGAAAGTTCTTCCTGCATACACAATTGTTTAGTTTTGGATTCAGTAGTTTGTTTTTCAGTGTCATTAAGTGAGCTGAGTAAGAGTCCTTATTCTGCTTCTAGAGGGCAGATACGTTGAATTCAGGCATTGAAGAACCACTCTTTCTGCTGCCCCCACATTTACTGAAGGAACAGTTACTGGGCATCCTTGACAGAAGGAAGACTTGCTGTTATTGCCAAAATCAGAGGTCTGAAAAAGATTAGAGTAGAAGTGTTGCAGCTAGACTTCTGGGACCCCTATTTGGCACTGGTGTCTCCACTCACTTTCTCTAAGACCTGGAGCAAGTTATTTAGCTTGTGCCTCAGATTCATCATTTGTAAAATAAAGATAAGGAAGAGCATGTACTTCAGATGATTGTTGTGTGGAATAAATAAGGTTCTCATACAGGGCGCTCTTGGAACAGTGCCCAACACAGAGTGACCTGTCTGAGCTCTCTGATCTGATTAGAAGCATTGGTTTTACGGCAGCCAAATGAGAAGGTATGTCTGAAGTCCAGAAGGCAGGTAGAACCAGGCGAGATGTTGACCACAGACAGTAGCTACAGAGCCTTCTCTTATGGGGGCTCTGTTCTCTCATCAGATAGATTTGAGGTGACAGCATGTGACTCTTTGCCTTCTGGGTTTAGACGGAGGGCAGGGATGGATGATGACCTGCCAGGGCAACGCCGGCTGCTCCCTCCTGCTTCTCTCATTCTCTTGGTCCTCTCCACTAAATGCCCGTTCCTCGGGGGCAAGGTTGTAAGTAGAACTAAATGGGGTATTCCTGTAGAATACGTGTTAACCTGAACTAAAATGTTTAAAGAGAGGTCAGTAAAGGCTGACTATGTACATTAGGTATGGTGCCAGAGTCGGTGTTGATTTCATAGACATATGTGCATATGTCTATGACAAAAAGGGTTCTTTCCCTTTCAGTTAAAAATATCACTTCTGGGTTTCAAAGATAAAAAGAAGAATCAAATAACAATAACAATAATAAGTTGTATTTAGAAAACATGGAGCTGATGTGCTGTTACAAATATTTTTAACAGCAATTATATCTGTTTTAAAGCCCTTTAACACTTAGCTTAATGTCCACTGGTACATTTAGCTCAATGCCCACTGGTGTACGGCTGTTGGTAAGACCGCAGAGACAACTGGTTCAAACAGGTTTCGGCATCAGAGGTCGGGGGCTTGGGTCCTATGCTGGCTCTGTCATTTGCTAGTCATTGTGTGTCCTTGGGCAGGTCTCTTCACTTTTCTGTACTTCTGTTTCATCATCTGGAAATGGGAATGTGACTATAGTATCCACTTCACAGAGATGTTGTGAAAATTAAGTGAAGTTATATAACATGTGCAAAGGACTCAGCACAGAACTGGACCACATTAGCCTTCAGTAAGCATTAGCATCTATTCCCAGGGAGATATCCTAGGGGCATCTCTTGGAATCCAGGCAAAGGATAAGTGGCCAGCAATAAAATCAATTCCCAAGGTTACCATAAGTGACTATCTTGAGTATGGAAGTTGGCGGGATCCACATGTTTCCTTACAGCTAAGAAAAATCCTCCCTAAATCTGTAATTCTACCTGAAGTGTAGTAGGATTTCATAATAAAGGTCAACCTGGGGTGGAAAGACCAATGCCTTTTAAAAAATAGATCTGCTGTGATCAGTGGTTGCCACAGATTGGGAGGAGGAGGTGACCACAAAGTGACAGGAGGGAAATTTGGGGGGTGAAAGAATGGTTCTCTATCTTGATTCTGGTGAGGGGCCACAAACCACACATGTGTGAAAACCCATAGAACTGAATACTAAAGAGGGTATATGTTTTACTCTAGATAGATTATACCTTAATTTTTTAATGAAAAAGAATAACTATATAGCCTCATACAAAAAAATTTTAATGTATATAAATAGAGATATATATATCTGCTGATAAATATTCACCTGCATTACAAATGATTCTCCCAACAATATATATTGTCATGAAGATCTAACAATATACGATTGGCTAAAAGAAATACAGTAGCAGAAATGAGGGTCATAGCCTCTGCATTTATTAATATTCATTCATGCCCTCAGCTAGAATTATGTCTAGTTCCTGGAACACATGTTAATTCTCATGCCAATTTAAGAACTTAGAAACAGAGAGAGGACAGCCCTAGTCAGAAGGCCTCATCAACCATTGAACCATGGCAAGAAATTTCTATCTATTTGCTATTCATGTCTGGATTCCCTACTTTAAAACCAACCTGGGGTTTAAGATTTGAGAGATTGAAAGACAATTCCCCAAAGGTTGGGATTGTACAGCTCTAAGTGGGAAGCAGCCTAAAATTTTCCCTCCCACTTTCTCTCACTCCTCCCCACACAGACCTCGCTCCTGACTCCCTTTCTCCTACCCTACCCTCCTCTTCCAGCCCCAAATAATGAGAATTCTTGTTGCCCAGTGATGGGCCGCATGTGTTTATTCCTGCGAAGAGGAGTTATGTAACCCAAAGCTCTCTCAGCTAAAAATCTGGGAAACCTGGTCTTAGACCGAGTTCCTCCTACTCCTTAGAGGTTGTTTGACCTTTTAGAAGTCACGTAGCTCCTCTGAGATTTCTGATTGCTCGTTTACTTGTGTGTGTTTTTTTTTTTTTTTTTATAGCAGGCAGTGAGAAAGAATGATGCTGCCAAATATATTAATTCTCTTGTGAAGGAAAAACTGGGCTGGTCTAACAAGATAACTCACAAGTCTAGGAATGTGAAGGAGAGGCTGGGCTGGGCTAACAACTCACAAATCTAAGTATTGGAATACTAATCTGAGTTCTGCTAGACTAACTTGTAAATATAGGTTAATTAGTGTTGGTTTGCTGTTCATGTTTTTTGCTAGCCAGCTGGGTTTTCAAAGATACGTATCTGGCTTTGGAATGTTGGTTTGCTGCCTCCCTGCCTCCACTTTTGTGATGATAATGCTGCTAAAGCTGTTCCATGCCTATTGGCCTAATACCCCAAGCTTGTACTTTACCCTATAAAACCTCATGCGCACGTCTTGGAGGTGCTCAGAGCTTCGGAGCAGAAGCCCTTCGGAGCAGAATCCCCTCTGAGCCCTCCGGCGTAATACATCTGAGTACTCCAACCCTCCAAGTGGTGCTTGTTTCTTGACTGGCCTGTCGTTTCCGTAACACTCTGGATAGTTACAGATGTTAAATTTGGCAATAGTTGGGAAGTGTCTCTGAACATAAAAGCATACAGTTCAAGCATTAGTAATGGGGTTGGGTTATGGTGTGGAGTGGGGTGGAGTGTTCAAGCCTAGTTAGGTTGGGGCCACTTTTCAAGCTGCCAGCTGTGTCCCCATGGCCAAAGTTAGTGAGATGTGAATGAAATTGGATCCTGGGGGAGAGGAAAACAGCAAAAGCATCTGCAAATCTAAAAAGATTTCTCTTGTTCTGTAAATTAACATCACCGTAGGAGTAGCCGTGAATTTCATTGACTCAAACTGAATGCTTTGTTTTTAAGCACTTTGCTTAACGGGGTGTGGAAATCTAAGTGCCAGCATTCAAGTTGGAAGTTAACGCCCTGGAAAGATGAATGGAAGAGCTATCCGTCTGCTAACACCACCTAACTTCAGGCACTAAAACAAAACCTGCCACTGATTTTCTTGCATCTAGAATTTCTTTCATAGCTCTAATCATAAAGACTTTTATCATACTTCATTGACTTCTTCTCTGAAACTAAAAATGTTGGTTCTGAAGTCACAGCTACCTAAGGTGATGGTAAATTCTCAATGTGGAAGTTTCTATTGATCTGCTTTTCAGGTTCAATATTTTGCCCCTTTCGGGATGGAACCACAGCAAGGCAAAATCCTTACACATATGCTGGCCTCGAATTCTTTTTTCGTGGGGTTACCCTAGATTCTTTTCCCCTAACGAGTCAGACAAACACCTTTCATTCTACAAACCCTGTCGTTTTACAGACGAATAATGAAAACTGCAAAGTGTCCCCAAAGTTAAAATGCCAGACTAAAGCACACCTGGTTGCCAGCTGGACTCTGGAAAGCTGTTCCTATTTATTTCTAGTTCAGAATTAAAAATAAAGTACTCCTGTCTCCAATGATACAAAATCTACAAAAAAAATTAGGGTATTTAAGGGTTGACTATTTTATTCATAGTTTCATTGATTCTGAAGATAGACCCCTTATAGACTCTCCGCTCGCAGCCCCCAAGTCCTTCTGCATTAGGGTGCTCCTGACTGAAGGTGTGGGGTATATGAAAAAGAGAACTTGGCTCTCTTGTTGTATCTTCATGAGTTGCTTTGAAGCCTTGACACTCCAAAGTCTGTACACTTGTAATGTAATAATCATGGACAGTTTCTCTAAGGCTATTATCCTTGCTAGAATTATTTCCACTTTTTTCTCAATCCTGCTGATTTTCTTTTTTCCCCCTTAACTTTCCCGGACCAGGTCACAGATGGCCAACAACTCCCAGGGACAGTCTCCCATTCTTTCTGATCTGTGGCATTCCCCTCTTGAAAAGCAGTTGAGCAGACCTTTTAGAACCTCAGTTAAATCCCTTAGTTCCACTGGAACCCCTTGTACACTATTGCTGGGAATGTAAAATGGTGCAGCCACTATGAAAAATAATGTTAGTTCCTCAAAAAATAAGTATATAGAATTACCATTCATTGTAACAGTTTAACTTCTGCATATATATACCCAAAACTACTGAAAGTAGAGACTTGAACAGATATCTGTGCAGCAGTGGTCATAGCAGCATTGTTCATAACAGTTAAAAGGCGGACACCACCCAAGTGTCCATCAGCATACGAATGGATATGCAAAATGCGGTCTCTCACTCTATATATAAAATGGTATATTATTCAACCTTAAAAAGGAAGGAAATTCTGACACATACTACAACATGCATAAACCTTAAAGATATTATGGTGAATGAAATAGGCCAGACACAAAAGGACAAGTATTGCGTGATTCCACAATGATAAGGTACCTGGAGTAGTCAAATTCATGGAGACAGAAAGTAGAATGGCAGTTATCAGAGGCTGGGGGAGGAGGGAACAAGGAGTTATTCTTTAATAGGCACAGAACTTCATTTTGGTATGATGAGAAGTTTCTGGAGATGAAGGATAGTGATGACTATGCAACAATGTAGGTGTACTTTATGCCACTATATCCTTAAAAATGGTTGAAATGGTACATTTTATATGTATTTTACTGTAATTTTTAAATGACTAAAAAGAAAAATGTAGCCCCTGGATTGTGGAGATAACTCTGGAAATGACCAAATAATGAGTTAATGCCAAATTAAGCAATGTGTGTCCTCACAGTTTTCCTCTCCCCTTTCCTTTCCCACCTCCACCCATCGTCACTCTGACTTCTTAAGAACAGCAGTCAACATTGTGGCTTTCTCTCTCTCTGTCTCAACTTGTCATCTTGCCCCATCCTACCTTGGCTAATTGCCCAGATTTCTGTTACATAAGAATTACTTGTTTGTTTCCTTTCTCACCACCACCCCCTTTACCTTACATTTGACTTTAAGTAACTTGCCAGGTTGTTCTTCCTGCCTGTAATCTCTGGAATGTGATTTAGAGCTAACCTGAAATAATCCATGTGTTTTAGTTGACACTAAAGACACCTGGTCTGGAAGAAAACTTCTGAAATCAGTGACCTCTTAAGATTCTTCCTGGTTCTAATGTTAAAAGAAAAGCAAAACAAAACACTTTGCCCTGACCATACTATAAAACAAATGTTATGTGGTATGATAATTGATCTGAGCAAAAAAATCACTAGCTCTTTTTTTTTAGATTCTAAAGCAACATTTATGACCAATACCTCAATTATGTTTCTTCCTTTCTACTAGAATACCAGCTTAGACCATCCTTGGGTTTAATTATTATATAACTTTTACACCTTCTCATTGTAAAAGAAAACCTTTAGAAAAACAAAAGCAAAGTAAAGAAAAAGACCAGGAATTGCTCATCTTCCTACTCCTTAGAGATAATCGTTAACACATCAATGTATGTTCTTCGAGTGTGTTTAATTTTTTAAGACCAAGAAGAAAGAACTTTCTGGAGTCAAGTTTCACATGAAAGAAAATGCTGTGTGCCTAGAGGTCAGGGACATTTGAGAAGAGATGTAAGGCACATATATTTTCCCTGGCTTAGAAGAGCCCAAACAAACCATAAACAGTGTGATGTTGGGGGTCATGAACAGTTTATCTCCCCTTTTATTTGATTTGAGTGTCAGGGCAAGGGCATCTAAGTTCAACAGTGATAAATTAAATTCCTAGTGAGCTGAAGCATCCCCTCCTTGCTGGCCAAGAAAGATGTCCTTAGATACACTTATGTTGAATCCATGGGCTTACCCAGAACTGGAATGGACCCAAAAGACCACTGGGTCCAAATTCTCCTCCTAGGAAAACCATCTGAAAGACTCAGGGCATTGGGAAGCCTTTCTTTAGCTGCCCTTAATGTAAATTCCATAAGGTCTCTTGGTTCCATATGAAATTCCTCTTATTGTCAAAATCTGTGTTATTTTAAATCTACTTAAGCTTATTTCCTCATAGATGTCTTCTGCGGAGATGGCTAGTGAGAACTTTTGTTACCTGAAGCTAACAATTCATCCTCAGCCTTCTCTTTACCAGGCTGTTGAGACTGAACCATTAAAAATGGCCACTGTTAGACCATTTTTTACCTACAGAAATAGCAATTTCACATGCTTCAACCTAAAAAATAACCCTAACTCTTTCTAACTTCTTTCAGAGGTTCTTTACTTTGGATCTTTTGACATCTGAGAGGTTCCCCCTCCTCACCCCGGACCTTCTCCAGAGTCCCCGTTCCTTCTTAGCATGTATTGTTCCACGTATGCACAGTAGTGGGAGAACAACTGCTAACATTAGAGGACTGATGAGGGTACAGTTAACCATTTTTGCCTTTAAAATGTCACTTCAAAACATATATAATGCACATTTATTTTTCACATATATTATCACATATAATCTATTTTATAATTTTAAAAGTTAGAAACATGTTCTGCAGGAAAACTCGGGTTAACACATACACCCTTGGGTCCAGAGCTGGAAGTGGCATGGAAAAAAGAGATACTGTCAAAGAAGAAAACAGAATTGTCGACAACATAATGCCA